TCCTAACCACAGGGCCAGGAGTCAACATCATGATAGATGGAAAAAGGACTGAAGCTTTCAATTATTTCATCTTGCTTGAATCAACCATAAATATCCAGGCAGCAGTAGGGAAATCAGGACATGTACTTGGATTGGGCAAATCCATTGTTAGGGACCTCTCCAAAATACTCAAGATCAATGGTGTCAGTTTGAAGATTAAGGTAAGAAGGCCACAATCTTCTCAATCATCTGCTATGCCTCTGAGAGCTAGACAATGAATAAGGATGTAAGAAGAAGAATTGATGCCTTTGAGTAGTGGTGTTGCAGAAGAGTACTGTATATTCCATGGATGGCCAAAAGAACACACAGATATCTTGACAAAAGTGCTGCCAGAGTGTTTCTTGGAGGCAAAGATGACAGAGCTTGATCTTTCATACCTTGAACATGTTCCTAGGCAAGGCTATTTTTTGGAAAGGGATATCATGCTTGGAAAAATGAGAGGGTTAGTGAAGGAGAGGAAGACCCTCAAATGAGATAGATTGATGCAATGACTGTGGTAGTGGGCTCAAGTGTGCCAGAGACGATGTGCATGGAACAGGACAAGGCAGAATTCTGGTCAGTTGTTCATATGGTTGGTATGAGTTGTACTCAATGGCACCTAACAGCAGCCACCATCTCCCACATACATGCCACAGAATTTGCTACCAGAAAGCTGTCAGGCAGCAGCAACTTGTTGGAGATATTTTTTTGCATGACAGAGCAAAAGGAAAAAGGCACAGTGGAACAAGGAAAAGAAACCGCTTCTTTCTTTAGTATCTCCATTGAGCTCCATAGTGACAAAGCACAATATTGTGTTAGTTGGCAGAGGAAAAAGTTCTAGTAACACAATCAGGCAATAAAGAGAAGATCTGAAATAAAGAAGTAATAACAAATAGATTACTTTTGGGGGGAACGTCTATCATAAATAGGAGTTGTTCTATCAAATCAACATCTACTGTTTTCTGTATCAATCAAAAAGAACATATGATATTTTAAAATCTGTTACTACATAAATTTTCTCATGTTATACCAGCAATTCATTCCTAGTACAAACCCTACTTAGGCAAAAGGTCTTTATATACGCGTGCGCACACGTAAACTCTGTACAAACACATATACCATTATCTATATAGTATACAATATATGATATACTATATAGAATATTCTATAGAGAGTATATGATATCCTGCATATAATATTCTGTGCATATATAGTATGTATGCATATACATATGTACACAAACTATACAACACAACAATATCATATGGTTCTGGAGTTTTCCTTGTAGAAATGTTATGAACTATGAATTCAATATCTTTAACAGAGAACTCAGGTCATCCACTTCTTGAACAAGGTTTGGTTGTTTTCATCTTTAAAGAAATTTGCCCATTTCATTAAAAAAACTACACTGGCCTATTGTTCATAATATTTCCTTTTAACACCTATAGGAACTTTAGTGATGCCACCTAACCCTTTATTGATATTGATCATTTATATCTTGGTGTTTTCTTGAGCAGTCTGGTGACAAGATCATCAGTTTCACTGTTAATAAATAATCTGCTTTAGGTTTCATTGATTTTTCTCTCTGCTTCTTCACTGATTTCGTTTTATCTTTTAATTTCCCCCCCTTTTTCTGACTTTGGATTTATTTTGCTCTTCTTTTTCTAGATTACTAAGGTAAAATTTTACATAATCAATTTGAAACCTTTCTGGTTTCAAATTAATTAGGCAGCTCAGCTGGCCTAGTCTGCAGCGAGTTGCACTGCTAACCCAACGGTGATGCCTCTCTGGTGGTTCAAATCCACCAACAGCCTCAAAACAAAGATGGGCAACTTCCTCCTGTGCAATTTCACAACCTCCAAACACTTTACTGGAGGGTCAGCTAGGCATTCATTCCAACTCAACATGAGCCTGGGCTGCTTTTCTGGCTTAAGTGCTTAATGCTAAAAGTTTCCCTTCGAACACTCATCTTGGTGCATTTCTCACTTTTAATGTTTTGTGCTTTCACATTCACTCAGTTAAAAAATATTTTACCACCCTTGATGATTTATTTATTCTTGGTCTCAAAAATATTTAGAAATGTGTTACTGAATTTCTAAGTAGTAGGAAATGTTCCAGGTAGCTTTTGGTTAATGATTTATAATTGAATTCCATGGTGGTCACAGAACACACTTTGTATGATTTGAACATTCTTAAATTTATTGAATCTTGTATGGTTCAGAATATGATCTATCTTTATAAATGTCTCATGTACACTAGAAAAGAATGTGTATTTTTCTGCTGGTGGTGGCAAGTTGTAGAAACACAGTAAGGTTAAGCTGGTTGAAAATACTGTGCCATTTTCTAGAATCTTACTGGGTTTTGTTGCTGTTGTTTTTGCTTCTTTGGCTTATTCATTACTGAAAGAAGTTGCTGGAATCTTGAATTTTAATTCTGCATTTGTCCATTTTCCTTTCAGGTCTATAAGTTTTTGTTTCATGTATTCTGGAGTTACTATATATATACATTCAGGATTGTTATAGTCTTTAGATAAATTGATTCCTTATGATCAATAGGAAATCAATCTAGTATCACTTCATGGCAGATGGAGAAGTTTCTCTTTTTTCTTTAATGTTAAAAAAAAGGCTCACTTTCCTTCAGTTATTTTTTCCTCTCTAGGCTCCAATTTTCTTAGCTTACTTTGCTACGTCTTCAAGTTCACAAGTCTTTGGCAGCTTCTAATCCGCTGCTAAGGGAGCTCTGGTGGCCTAGTGGAAAAGGAATTGTGCTACCAAGGCAAAGGCATTTAGATCTACCAGCTGCTCTGAGAGAGGCACACGGGCAATCTCCTCCCATGCGATTTATAGCCTCTGAAAACCAACTGGACGGTCAGCTATGAGTAGGTTCTGACTCAACAACACACAGTAACAACCTGTTATAGCACAGCTAGTGAATTTTTTAAGTTCTATACAGTTCTTTTAAAAATATTCTATTTTCATATGCTCATATTACCCATTAAATCTTGATATTTATAATAATCATAAAATCTGGTATGGCAAAACAATCATTTTGTTTAATTTCTATTTTGTCTCCCTCCACCTCTCCCCAAAAGCTAACTTTTCTTTTGGCTACGGGTTGAATTATTTTTTCTCTTTTGCACATTTAATGATTTTCCCCACCATTAAAGGTCAAACACATTCTATGATGTTTTTCAGTCTGGAATTTGCTGTCTTTTTAAGAGTTTTGGCTTCTTCTTTTCTCCCTAGCAATTACGTTACATAAATATCAGTTTAATTCTCTGGGGACTGGCTTAATTCAGCTTTGTTAAAGCAAGCTTAGAGGAGTGTACTTTTCGGCTCTTTTAGCCCTTCTACTAAGGTATGACCCTTACGGGAGTCTCTCCACTCAGGCTGGTGAAACTCAAATGCCTCACAGCCATGTGTAAGCTCTGGGAACTGTAAACCTTACAGCCATCAGAGAGTTCTTTGCTTGGCTTCATGGGGCTCATCCTACTCTTCTCAGCTAGGTATTCAACAACAGACTCTAGAGGACACGTGTACAGACAGCTTGAGCTCCTTTTCTTCCTAGGTCCCTCCTCTCTTAACATTCTGCCCTGCAAATTCCACATTCTTCAGACCTCTTAAAGGTAAATTTATGTCTCTTTAATTCAGAATTTGTTCTGTTTTGTTTCAATTCTGTTTCTCCCTATACCACAGTGGAACAGGCATCTCCATTCACATAGCTGAGGATAGCACAGGACTTCTTTGTTCACAGCCATATCTATTCTCTTTTTAGAGATCATAGTCCTGTTTTACCGATAGGAAAATGTCTGAAAACAATAGAAGTCTGTCTCTGTTTTTAATTTTCTTGCTCAAGTTGATTCCAATTTTGTCAGTATTTACCCCTATGAGCTATCTCATGTGTCCTTCTGGCACATTCTAATAATTTTAAAAACATGTATATACTTTTTGATGCAATTACATATTCTAAGCTTCTCTTATACTTTCCCAAGACCTGAAATCATGCTTTTTTGATTGTTTGTTTCTTTTAAGAATTCTTGGTGTTTCTTAAGAAAAGGAAACAATTATTTAGAGACAGGATGCAACCATTCTGTGAGTTCTCTGATGGTCTCTCAATGATGGGTCATTGCTTCCAAGTTCTTGGGGGAGATTATAGATCCTTCAATTTTTGACTGAGTTAAGAAGTCCTGTTAAAATCTCTAAGCTCTGTAAAACCTATGACTTAAAATGAAACATGCTGTAGCTCCTTTCTAGGACAAAATGTCACAATGAGGAGAAATGGAAAAACTAGGACAGCAGCGTGTTTAAAAACAAACAACAAAACAAAATTAAAAAATCTTTATATAACACCCAAGTCTTTCAAAAATTATTGAGCCCAGAATATATTTATCAACATCTAGATAAAAATAACAAAGAAAGCACTAGTGTGCTTTGCTTTTCTTTGGAGAGGGACCAGATAGAATAGTAATATTCCTATAAGCCATACAAAAACATTATTCTCAGTACACAAGGTATTTCTTATAGAAGAAAAACGTTTCTTATGCGTTGGCTTTAGGAATCAATCTATAGCGAATAAAGTTTGAGGAATTTTGTTGTTTAGAAACTGTCGAGTCAAGTCAACTCCAAAAACTCATTGTGACCTCATTCATAATAGACAGAAATCTTGACTGATCCTGTGCCATCCTTGTCATTTCAGTCACTGTGTCAATCCACTTAGCAACATGTAAATAAATATTAAATTCTAGTGATAACTTTTTACAAAGTCATAGTATAAAATATTTTACTTTACTTATGAAAACAGAACTCCTAAAGTCTTCTAAAAAATGTATCTCCTTTTTAAATTTTCACTTCATTCCAGTCCCTGCAACTTGATCTGTAGAATTTCATTAGCTACATCTTCTACTGAATTATTTCTAGCCATTTGATTAGTTAAACAAGGATTTTTCTTTTTGTTTCATTTCTTATATTCCATGACATACTTACATGGAATGGTTCTCAAATAGAGATTATCTCTGATCACTTGCTGCAGTTTATGGTCAATTGATCCTTTCTGAAACTGAAGACTCAAGTAATGTCGCAAATCTTTATTAATGACTTTGCCTAGAAAACAAAAGCAAAAAGACATCACTGTTAGATCTCCAGTTAATACAGAAGCAAGTGATTAAATATTTTGAACCACTGAGCCATAAAAAGGAAAAAGCAGCCAACGTATTTCTTTAAAGACAATTATCACAAATTATCATTACTATGATTATATAATTTACCTGTAATATAATACAATTTTACATTATAGAGGAGGGAGAAGGGATAAGTCAGAGAATATAACAAATATTCAAGATAATTTCATTAAGTCTCATGGCATTATATATCAACTATGTATTGATAACTTCCAAATTCCTGTCTCCACTACTGACCTCTCTCAATCAATCTGTATATTAACATGTATCAAGCACTTCAAACTCCAGAGAGCTAAACAGAACATTTAACTCCAGATTCATTAAGGGTTTATTCTCCCCAGTTTTCCTCACTTTGGTAAATAACAGCACCATCTGTGCAGTAGAATAATCCCCAAACTTGGAAGTCATCTTGATTTCTGCTTTTCACTTTTATCTCCCAGATCAAAGCCATTAGTAACTTTTGTCACTTCTACCTCCAAAATAGAGTTTTGATGGCCTAGTGGTGAGGAGTTATGCTGCCATTCCAAAGGAATGTGGTTAGACTCTAGCAGCTGTTCCACGGGAGAAAGACTGGCAAACTCCTCCCATGTGATTGACTGCCCCTCAAGATCTACCCGAGGGTCAGCTATGAGTGAGCTCCAGCTCCACACCATACAACAATAATAAGCTCCAACATACATTCTATATCCTCCACTTCTATTTCTACCGCCACCACTAATATAGCCCTTCAGAAATTCTCCAATAGCTTTCCAAACAAGTTCTCAGCCTCCAATTTTGCCTCTTTCCTGTTCCCATCACTGACACAGCAGCTAGAATGAGATTTACACTATAACTGCAAACATCACTATTCTGTTTAAACCCAGTGACTTTTCGTTGCAATTAGAATAGAATCCCTGAGCAGAGTCCAAATGGACCTGTATGTTCTGGCTCCAGCTAACTCTAACCAAAACATATTTTTTCCTTTCTCTAACTATAGTTGACCACATTGCTAACTTTCTGATCTTCAGAGAGGCCAAGCTAAGCCCTAGCCCATGACCTTGAACAGCCATTTTCTAGCCACTTGCTTGACTCTTGAACATAATAAATGAGTAAAAGATGTTCTCTTATTTGTCAGGGTATACTAGGAATAGTAGAATTTCAAAGAAATGAAAATTGGTCTATATCTCTTACAAGTGCCGCTCAGGAAAATAAAGTCTATAACCATACTCTAAACCATATTAACAAATTCAAGCTCTCAAGTTTCAGTATAAAATCCTTAGTTAAAAGAATTTATAATTGTAAACCTACACTTTTTAAAAATAATTCCAATTAATATTTACCTCAAGTTTATCTTGGAGAATTAATGTCTAGCGTAAACTACCTATTATTTAGATGAGCCCCATGGCATATTAAGATTGGAGGGATGTGGTCATAAAACCAGCTGTAAATCGATCTAACTGCCAACATTTCATCATCTTTTCCACAGGGATAATCTAGTAGGCTTTGTCAAGTACTTGCTAAAGTCAAGATACAACATGCTCTACCATCCTCTAATCCAGGAGTAATTATACTAAAAGAAGAAAACAAGAGAAATGAAGTCAGTTTGATGTATCTTGTTCTTAGAAATTTCCATTGATTCAGGAGGATCATCCCATTCTTTCTTAAATAAGCAATCTCTCTCTCTCTCTGTATTTATGTTTCTATACTTTAATAATCTTTTCAAGTTTAAAGATAGGGAATATAAACTTTCATAATCTACCTTTCGGAAACTAGGACATTTGTCTCTCTTCAGTCTCCTGGCACTTCCCACATTCTCCATGATTTCACGTGATTATTGACAGTAGTCCTGAGATCATATCTCAGAGTTGAGAACTCGCAGCAGGCAAGTCATCTGAGTCTTGAAAACGTAAAATCATTTAAAGTGAATTAACTCTTACTTTCTTCTCATCTTTGGGAGATTTAATCTTCTTTTTAAAAAAATTTTAGTTTATTATTATATTTTGTGTTTCAGATCTGACTGGTACAGGAGGAGATTGCCCCTCATTCTCTAGCAGAGCATCTGGTGGATTAGAACTGCATACCTCTGGGATTGCAGTGCAGTTTCTCGCCACTAGGCCACCAGAGCTCAGTGATTTAGCCCTCTTTTGACCTCACATTTCAAGATGTTTGTTTTACTTTTTTTTTTTTCCTTTTAGAAAATAATTACCCTAGCTGAAGATCATGGAAGCAAATGAAAAGCCATGTTGGTCTAATCCTCACTGCAAACAGTTAATAGAACATTTTTTTTTTCTTTACAGCAGTGAGCCTACCTTTTCTTTTTCTCTGTAGTTGCTTTAAGCTCTGCCCTATTTTAAAAGAAAATTTTTAACTTTTTAGTTCACTGTCATACTATGATGGCTTATGTATTGCTGTGATAGTGCAAACTATGCCACTGATATGTCAAATACCAACAGAGTCACCCACAGTGGACAGTTTTGTACAGATCTTCAGTCCTGTGTAGACTAGGAAGAAAGGCCCAGGGATTTACTTCTGAAAACTAGACAATGAAATTTTATGCATCATAAGAGAATACTGCTTGATATAATGCTGGGTGAAGAGCTTCCTAAGTTGGAAAGCACTATATAAAAGACACAGCAATGGATCAAACAGATGAATATGGTGCAGGACTGGGAACTGTTTTAGTCTATTATATATAAACCAAGAAGTCCTTGTGGTGCAACAGTTAAGCACTCAGGGTTTCTTGGCATGATACTTCATTTGGAAATGTCTAGTCTTAGAACCACACCTACAATAGGCTGTAAAACATTTTGAAATCTACTTTATTAAATTATGGGCATAAATATGTCCCAGTTCTCTCCTTTATTATGATGACTATAAAATGGCCTGTCATTGTGTACCACTCAGTTGGAACTGACTCATAGTCAGCTGACCCTCCGGCACCTTTTCAGAGGCAGTTAATCACATGGGAGGAGACTGCTCATTTTTCTTGCATGGGGCAGGTGGTGGATTTGAACTATGTGCCTTTGGGTTTCCAGCATAATTCCTGACACTAGCCCACCACAGCTCCTTAATATAAAATGGCCTAGTAACTTCCCCCAATAAACTGCTTAATACAACTGTTGTTGTTATTTGACATTGAGCAGGAATTGACTCACAGCTGACCCTCTACTGAGTTTTCAGAAGCAGTAAATAACATGGAAGGAGATTGTCCATCCTTCTCCCATGAGCAGCTGATGGATTTGAACCACTTGCCTTAGAGCTGGCAGCTCCTTACCATTAGGTCATCAGAGCTCCAGTACAACTAGGGTTACTAATATGCTTTTTCATTAGACTTAAGGTTCTGAATAGCAGTGCATTTTATTGTTTCCTTCACCTTTTGAGCTGTACAGAAAAAAAATCATAATCAACATATGGTCATAAACTTAACTCTAATTTGGTCACTTGATTCAAGACAGTGGGAGCTTAAATGAAAGAAATCAAACTGTTGACAACTTGTCTGTGAAACTGTAAATGACATTTGAATAAAGAATTTTCATATAATCTATAGCTATACAATGTAATATATTTTACATTTTATAGCAAAATATATTCTATGGCACAAAGTTATTAAAAGGAAAAAAAACTGATGATCTGATTCCATAAAGATTACAGTTTACAAACTCTACAGGACAATTCTTAAACATATGATTCATTAAATTAGGTGAAGTTATGTGAGGTCAAGGTTATGGCCTGTTGATATACATGCACTCCCAGTATTTAGTAAATATAATGAATCAATTAATTTTATGTTTTTAATTGTTCATCTGACCCTCTCGTTCCTTAAATACACATAATGGAAGACTCACTTAACTGATACAGTATCTTTTACACCTTTATCTTAAACTATTTCTTACATAACTAATTGATTTTATTTTGACTTCCTTAAAATGAAAAAATTAATTATTCATTAAAGTAGCAAGCTCTATAAGTGTTTAAAAGTAGATTTAAATTATACCTTGTATATCAATCCTTTAAATTATGTTCCTTATTTATTAACATTTTAAAATGTACTCACAAAATGGTATCTGACTATTCAGAAAGAGACTATAAGACTTAATTAATAGACTGTTTTTCCAACTCCACTGTAGACAAGTCTACAACAGACTCTCCCACTTCCGTCACCCAGCCACATGCACATGTGCGTGCGTGAGTGCGCACACGTGCCACACACACACACACACACACACACACACACTCTCTCTCTCTCTCTCACGGGGTGGGGGCGGGGAGAGAGAGAGAGAATCGTCTCCCCTTTCTAGGGCAAAGGTGTGTGAATGGAAAAGAAAATGAGAAGTAAAACCTGAGCTGACAAGAACAAGTGCTATTTTAAGATTTATTATTACATTATTATTACTGCTAATATTTATTCAGAACTTATTCTGAAAAATATGTGGCAGGTACTCTCCAAGAATTTTATGTTTTAGCTCACTTAATTCTCATGGCAACCTTTGAAGTAGGTGCTATTATTATCTGCGTTTTACAGATAAGAAGCTGAAGTAAAGAAAGGTTAAACAATTTGAACAAGGTTGTATAATTAGTAAGTGGCAGATATGAAATGTGAACCCAGGCAATAGCTCAAGGACCTGCACTATAAGCGAGCACTTTGCTAAATACTCTTCTTTCTCTTTCTCTCTCTTCTATGTGTGTGTGTGTGTGTGATATATATGTGTTGTTGTTAGTGGGCATTAAGTTTAATCCCAACTCACAGCAACCCCACAAATTCAAAATAGGTTTTCAAAGAGTGACCTTTCGTAAGACAGGCTTGTATTCCAAGGCACCTCTAGATGAGTTCAAATTTCCAACCTGTCTGATAACCTTTATGCTTCCTCCCTCTCTCTCTCCTCCCCCACCCCCACCACTTTACTGAAGAAGAAGAGGGAGAGAGAAAATCTTTTGATAAATTTC